GCTTACTTGATTTTTAAACCAAGGTTTCTGAAGACTTATTTACCCTTTCCATTGCTGTTTGCTGTTTTGTGAGGTGAAAATCCCATGAAATAAAGTAGGAAAACACTTATTTTAGCCATTAGAATAATATAATTTTAGAAATGTAAAAGACTTTGAGGTCATCTAGTATAACCCTCTCATCTAAGACAAAACTAAGAAGTCACAATTATTTGCCCCGGGTCCCACTTCCATTTTGTGACAGGATAGTTAAAGTGATTTTTTTTTTTTAGCCTCTTTCTCACTCCCTCAGCCAGTGGCTATGAAAGGGAGCAGTGAGAATCAAAGTATAAGACTAGAGAAGAATAGAAAGCAAGAAATCAAGGCTACATATAGCACTGGCTAGAGCATCAGTCTCTGAATATCCACCACTGACTTTTTTTTTGTCTTTTAGTAAAATGTTTTATTTGTCTGAAGGAAAACAAACAAGCCACATATAGAGGACTATCAGAGGAGTAGTAAAGAAACAGGAAACCACTCTTTTTTGGCTACTTCCAGCATCAGACAATTTTTTTTTTTTGCTGGCATCTCAAAGGGCAAGGAAAGTTCATTTGTGGAATTTGTGGTGAAATTCTCATAGAAATAATCCTCCCTATATAGTAGAAGTTTCAGGCAGTTATTTCCAAATGTGGTTCCTAGTAAGGTCTTTTTGTTTTGATTGCATGTGGACAGTAGGAAACAAATGCCCCCAATATGGGGAAAAGATGTAGCTACTGTGTCTACGGGAACTCAGGCTGTACTTGTGCTACCTTGCGGAATGTGTGTGTGCCAGAGCCCTGCATCTCGCACCAGCTGATGGTTACCATCCAGACACCTGCTGATTCACTGTGGGCCACCCCTACTCCCAGCTCATTTTCTGCAGTTGTCACCAGGCAATTGGACCGTACATTGTCCAAGGGAAACCACGTTAGCCCACACGATGTCACTTGGGCAGAAACTCTTACATAGTTCAACCTTGTCTTTTTTCGGCAGCCTGAACGTCTTCCTTCCTGACTATTCCTCTAAAGGAGTTCTTGAGTGATGTGTATCTCACATATAAGATAGATTCTTTGTAAAGGCGAGAACTAATGTTAGAGACATTATAGGTTAAGATCATTCCCACATCTGGCAGCAGCTGGGACTCGGTCTCTTTGTTACTGACACCGCTGGAAGCTTGCTATTGTTGCTCAATTAAACCAGGAAGCCAGAGAGCAAGGAGAAGATGCATCCGTGCCAGGTGTAGGTGTCGCTGCAGGGGTTGGCCTCCTTCAGGTTACACAGTTGCTTCGCTGGGGCGCCATCCTTGGCTTTTTTTTTTTTGGTTAGGCAGTGGCGTTAAGTGACTTGCCCAGGGTCACACAGCTAGTAAAGGGTTATGTGTCTGAGGCTGGATTTGGACTCAAGTCCTTTTGAATCCAGGGCTGGTGATCTAATCACTGTGCCACCTAGTTGACCCCATCATTGGCTTTCTAAAATTAATTTTTATTTCTACCTTTTGTTTCACCTACTTTTTCCAGTGTATCTTTTCTTCCCCAACCTAGGGAACCTTCTCTTAAAACAAAGAATAAAGAAGAATGGGGACAAAAACAGTTCAGCAAAAGTAACCAACATATCCAAAAAAGTATTTTTATGTTTTCTCATGTTTCTTCATAGTCTTCATTTCTTATAGCACAGTAATAACCCATTACATCTTTGACTTCTAAGCCTTGCCTTTTTCTCTGTGGAACTTAATCATTATACTTAAGAATAGTACAGCATAGTTTTTATAGAATATTTTCTTTGAAATTAAGTAAAGCCTTTTTGGCCCATGAGGAGTAAATATATTATTATTCTGAAGACAACTGATTCGAAAAATAACTTCGAACTCATTTTTTTCCCCAGACCAATGATTTCACTGGTATAGGGAACTACCTCTACTAATATAGATCAATTATTATTTTTCAACTTATATTCTGAGAGTTGCTTGGGATACTGAATCATTAAGTAGCTTGTCCTGAATCACATAGCTAGTATGTGTCACACATGGGATTTGAACCCAGGTCCCTCCTGACTTTGAGACTAAATATTTATCCATTCCTATATACTACTTCATTTACCTGTGGACTCCATATCTTGTTTAAAATGCTATTATTAAACATAGGGAAAATAAAGCACAGTTTTACAGATATCATAATGGTTACTCAGTATCTCATATCACTTATTAAGTACTTCCCATTGTATTCCTAGGGACTCTAAATTAATTTACATTCATTCCTGGTATACAATCTAAGCACTCATTTGGGTAAATCTGCAGAAGTAACACAATAGAATAGAGACACTGAGTGAAGATTAAATATGGAGTAGTGGACTTGTGTTTTGAAAACAGAACCAAGCTAGGTAAGTACATTTGCGGGGCAGAGAACATGTTCTTAGAAAGAAAGTGTTGCATATTATTAACAAAGCCCAACAGCAAGAGATAGAAAGAGAAGTTACTGTGGACATTATAAAATATTTGGGATTCTACCTGCCAAAACGAACCCAGGAACTGTATGAACACAATTACAAAACACTTTTCACGCAATGTCAGATCTAAATAATTGGAAAAATATCAATTGCTCATGGGTAGACCAAGCTAATATAATAAAAATGACAATTCTACCTAAATTAATTTACTTATTCAGTGCCATACCAATCAAACTACCAAAATTTATTTTATAGAGCTAGAAAAAACAATAACATTTCATCTGGAAGAACAAAAGGTTCAGAGTATCAAAGGAATTAATGAAAAGAAATGCAAGGGAATGTGACCTGGCTGTACCAGCTCTTAAATTGTACTATAAAATAGCAATCATCAAAACTACTTGGTACTGGCTAAGAAATAGAGTGGTGGATCAGTGGAATAGGTTAAGTACACAAGACACTATAGTCAGTGACTATAGAAATCTACCGTTTGATCCAAAGATTCCAGCTTCTGGGATAAGAACTCACTATTTAACAAAAACAGCTGGGAAAACTGGAAAACAGTATGACAGAAACTAGACATAGACCAGCTACCTTACACCATACACTAAGATAAAGTCAAAATGGGTACAAGATTTAGATATAAAAGCTGATACTATAAGCAGACTAGGAGAGCAAGGAATAGTTAACCTGTCAGATCTGTGGAGAACAGAAGACTTTATGACCAAACAGGAGATAGAGAACATTATGAAATGCAAAATGGATGATTTTGATTACATTAAATTGAAAAGTTTTTGCACAAACAGAGCCAATGCAACTAAGATTAGAAGGAAAGCAGAAAGCTGGGAAACAATTTTTATAGCCAGTGTCTCTGATAAAGGCCTCATTTCTAAAATACATAGAGAACTGAGTCAAATTTATAGGATTACAAGTCATTCCCCAATTGACAAATGGTCAAAGCATATGAACAGGCAGTTTTCAGATGAAGAAATGAAAGCCATCTATAGTCATATGAAAAAATGCTCTAAATCACTATTGATTAGAGAAATGCAAATAGAAACAACCCTGAGGTACCACACTTTTGTGTGGCAAACATGACAAAACAGGAAAATGATCAATGTTGGAGAAGATGTGGGAAAATTGGAACACCAATGCATTGTCAGTGGAATTGTGAACTGATCCAGCCATTCTGGAGAGCAATTTGGAACTATGCCCAAAGGGTTATAAAACTGTACATACCCTTTGTCCTAGCAATACCATTTCTAGGTCTGTATCCCAAAGAGATCGTGAAAAAGGGAAAAGGACCCACATGTACAAAAATACTTATAGCAGCTCTTTTTGTCATGGCCAAGAATTGGAAATTAAGGGGATGCCCATCAGTTGGGGAATGACTGAACAAGTTGTGGTATATGAATGTAATGGAATACTGTTGTGCTATAAGAAATGATGAGTAGGCGGACTTCAGAAAAACCTGGAAAGACTTACATGAACTGATGCTGAGTGAAATGAGCAGAACTAGGAGAACATTGTACATAGTACACATTGTGCAATGACTAATTTTCATAGACTTGGCTTTTCTCAGCAGTGCAAGAATCTAAGATGACTCCAAAAGACTTATGATAGAAAATGCTGTCCAAATCCAGAGAAAGAACTATGGAGTCTGAATGCAGATTGAAGCATACTACTTGCTCTCTTTGTTTTTTTTCTTCTTTCTTGCGGTTCCTCCTATTGGTCCTAATTCTTCTTTACAACATGTCTAATGTGAAAATATGTTTAATATGAACGTAGATGTAGAACCTATATCAGATTGCATGCTTTCTTGGGGAGAGGAGAGGGAAGGGATGGGGAGAAAATTTAAAAGTCAAAATCTTATGGAAGTGAATGTTGAAAACTAATAATTAATTAATTATAAATTAATTTTTTGAAAAGCGCTGGAGAAGCAGAAATCTTCTAGTCTCTTTATGGAAGGTTTCCTTGTTAGTGACACTATTTGATAATAGAATACAATTGGCAGGGACCAAGTAATGTAAGTGATGGGGGAGGAGGGGAGTTGCTGAACCAAAATGATAAATAACTTGCTTCCCAGCAAAGACTTATTTTTAGAATTTCATTACATGTCTTTTTGAAGTACTGAAAAATTGAGGAGGCTGATCTTCTGATGTATTAAGAAGGCAGTCTGCTGTCCTTGTTAGAAGACTGCTCAAAGATTTAACAATCTAGTTTCAAGTCCCACTTCTGACACATACTGGCTTGGTGACCCTGGGCAGGTCACTTGACTTCTTTGTGTCCCTAGACATTTTCTAAGGCTACAAGTTAGTTACAGAGAAGGTACTGATCTGCACTGTAGAGGGAGTTTTCTCATGAAGAGTTCTCTACACTGAGGACACACAAAAAAAATTCTGAGATAATACCTGTGCTTGTCACAGTTTTTTTTGCGCTATTTTAATTTTTTTTCTTTTTTCTCTTTTTCTTTCTTTCTCTTTCTTTTGTTCTTTAATTTCTTCCTTCCTTCCTTCCCTTCCTTCCTTCCTTTTTTTTTTTTGCAGAAGGAAGTGGTATATTGCATAAGGTCGTGTATTGGCCAGACGGAACCATGAAATTTTGAATTTTCAAGATGAATGAGATCTTAGAGATGATCCAGTATAGCCCAACACCCTCATTTTGCAGAAAAGGAAACTGAAGTCCAAAGAGGTTGAATTACCTAGTCAAACACCTGGTTTCTGGCAGCACCAGGACGAGAAGCCAGGTCTCCAAACTCCCAGCCAGGTATTCTTTCTACTGTATACACTGCTGTCCATGGTCCACCTCAAATCAGTGGTAATACTCAAGTTAAGTGGTTGGTTTTCCAGGCTAGGGCTTGACATACTGTCTTCTGTAAGCCCTCAATCCATCCTTCTTTTTTCTGACAAGATTTTATCTTTAGATAAAACAAGTCTTAGAATTAAGTTCCTAGCCTGGGGCCCCTTAAAATGAGTCTTCAGGAGACTTCATAGCTCCTTTTTCACTGTCCTATGAAAAGTCATAAGAACTTTCTAAACTGCTTTCTGGCCTTTTATGTTCTCACAAGGGCCCATGGCAGGCCACTAAGTGGCCAATGAGAATAAGCCCACTTTCATCTAAGATAAATCCAAACCCCTTTCAGGGAATCATTTCAGATAGGAAGCTATCTCTAGTACTTCATTCCATAGCCTAAGCCCTAAGGTAATTTTTGCTAATTACAGGACTTCTCTAGCCAGACTAGTCAGGACCATAGCAGATCTAAGACACTTCCCTGTGGGAATTTCTCTATTTAGGTTTAGGTGAATATAAGTAGTAGTATGTTCTGTGAAGCACAGAGAAAGCTGCTACTTAAAAGAATCACCCATGCTGGAATTCACATGGAGCATGCTCTTAGAACTTGAGGGATATAGGAGCAGATGCTTTGGTAAGCTCCCTTACATCTCTAAGAATTTGTGAATGTAGGACCTTACTGATTACTTAATACCCTCATTTTACCAAGTAGGAAACATACCCTAATCCTTTCTCTCTACCATACCTAGTATAGAGGTATAATTCTGTATCAGCAATTTGTTCTCCAGGCTATTGGCATTTAGCCTTCTTTTAAAATGCAGGTATTCCTGGAAAGAGAAGTGCAGTAAGTCTTTATTACCTCAGTGTGAACTAATTTGTTACTTGACTTCTTTGATAAGAAAAACAAGAGCAACATGAGAACATTGGAAGCCTGGTTAGAAATTGGGATGCAGAGTGCTGAAAGGAAGGGGCAGGTCAGAAATGGTAGAGTGTGGGCACAGCCCTGCTAGATAGATTTCATTCACCAACCATTTTATTAAGTGGTCGGTCACTGCTTGATATAGTCTGTGAGACCCTGTGCTAAGTGCTGAGAATACAAAGATGGGTCTCATACCATGTTCTCAAGGAGTTTATAATCTATTGGGGATATAAGAACAAGTACATATATAGCTAAGATGTTACGTAGAAAGGGAAGGTTAGGTGCAAAGAAGAGGTCCAGACAGAATGTTACGTGAAAGATGAGCAAAAAATACCATTTATTTTTTTTCTGGGGAGTTAGTGAATATACAACTGACAGTGCTTTTGGTTTTACAAAGCATTTCACATAAATTATCTCATCACAACTGCCTCATAAGGTAGGTACTATAGGTATTATTGTAGCAGATGAGGAAACAGGCTCAGAGAGGTTAAGTCACTTGCATACAGTCACATAGTAAGTGACAGGTGGCGTTCAAATCCAGGGCTTTCTGATTCCTGATCCAGCACTGCCTCAAGGCTTCATGGAGAAAGTAACATCTGACATCAGTCTTCATCTCCTTCATGGATTGCCTAGGGTTGATCTCATACTGACTGATCAAGTTGGCTCAAATTCTAGAGGAACAGTCACAGAATATTTTAGCTTCAAAAGAAAAGTTGGAGGTTATCTAGTCCTAATGCAAGTCCCTTAATTTACTACTAAGGAAACTGAGACCCAGAAAGGTGAGGTGACTTGTCTAAGGTCACACAGCTAGTAAGTGACATCACTTACTAGGAATCTAGGTCTTTTGATTCCTAGTTCAGTGTTGGGGTCCATCACACTCTCTGCACATGCCCTTATTCTCAGAGTAGACTTGTTTCTGAAGCAGCAGGAGCAGCACTGATGATATTCACCAGTGGCTCTGGGAGCTTTGTGGTGGAAATAGTTTGGGGTGGGGGGGAATAGTTAAAGGACATCTCCTTTCTTAAGTGACTTTTAGTTCAGTAAAGTATGTTGAGTTTAACTCTCTAGTGTGAAATTCATAGTTCATTCATTCATCATTTATTAACTAAACTTTGCTGCCTCACATGATGTTTGAAATGCTGTATTATATTTATTTGTATATGTGACATATCTCCCTTACTAGATTTTTAAATGTAGGAACTGCCTTATTTATGTATTTCTCAAAGTGCCTTGCACATAGGCACTGCGTAAGTATTTGTCGAATGAATGATTGGAATTAAAATAGAAAGCCTTACTTAAACAATTTGATTTAAGAATAGACAGTTAATATGCCTAAACAGTTATAAAACTGTGCCTACCTTTTGATCTAGCACTACCACTGCTAGGTCTATAACCCAAACACATAAAAAAAGGGGGAAAGGACCTATTTATACAACAGTATTTATAGCAGCTCTTTTTTGTGATGACTAAGAATTAGAAATCAAAGGAAATCAAAGATGCCCATCAATTGGGGAAGGGCTAAACAAGTTGTGGTATATGATTGTAATGGAGTTGTACTATAAGAAATGACAAGCAGGATGGTTTCAGAAAAAACCTGGAAAGACTTACATGAACTGATGCATAGTGAAGTGAACAGAACCAGAAGATCTTTGATAGAACAGTAATAGCAATATTGTTCAACGAAGAACTGTGAATGACTTAGCTATTCTCAGCAATACAATGATCCAAGACAATTCCAAAGGACTAATGATGAAGCATTGTATCTGCCTCCAGAGAAATAACTGATGTTGTTTTAATATAGACTGAAGCATGCTATTTTTAACTTTCTTTCATTTTTTTCTTTTGCTTGAGGCTTCTTTACAAAATTACTAATATGGAAATGTTTTACATAATTGTACACATATATATAACCTTTATCTCATTGATTGCCATGGCAGGGTAGAGATAGAATTTGGAACTCAAAACTTTAAATAAAAATGTTTAAAAAATTGAAAAAAATAGACAGTTAAGAAATCATAGTTTCATAGATCTAGGACTAGAAGGATTCTCAGAGGCCTTTAGCCCAACCCTTTCATTTTACAGATGAAGAAACTCAGGAACAAAGATGTTAAGTGATTTGCCCATGGGCAAACACAGGATTTGAATCCAGATCCTCTTCCTTTGATGGCAGATTTTTTTCACTGTACTACATTGTCTCTATTTCAAGATTATCATACTTAAGACTATTAGCCATGGTGTATCATATACTTGTGTGTGCGTGTGTGTGTGTGTGTGTGTGTGTGTGTGTGTGTGTGTTTAGTCAGAAGATTAGATGCCTAAGAATTGTTATTTTTTTCCCTTACATATTACACTTGAGTGTTATCTCTCCAGAAGACCAGCTTTTTTACTACCAGCGTGTTGTTGTAATAAGTGTTTGTATTGAATTGAACTGGAGTAGAGAGCGCCCTGGGCTTAGTCATAAAACTCGGGTTCAAATTCTCCCCCTGCCCCCTTACTCGCCACGTGGCCTTGGGCAAGCATCTTAACCTTTCTTAATTTGTTTCCTCTTCTGTAAGATGGAGCTATTAATACTTACACTATCTACTTCATAGGATTATTGTGTGGATCAAATGAAAGTAACTAGAAAATGCTCTATAAATTTGTTCAGCTGTTATTGATTGTATATTGATATGTATATTATACATTTAAGTAACCGCTGAAGGGAGAGGAAGTAAGCTAAGTGGACTGATGAAAGTTCCTATTATCTGGCCTGATTGTATTTAGAGATTTTTGCTAGACATTCTCAAAGGCCACTGAAGCCTTTGGACCTTTGAGAGGTAAAGAGGGACTTTAAGAGATCATCCAGGCCAGTGCTTCTTAACCTGAGCTTCATGATCTGTTATTGTTTTTGTTTTTTTTTTTTTTGATAGGTATCTTTCAAAATAATTGATTTCCTTTGCAGTAAACCTATATATTTTATTTATGCCTTTAAAAACACTATTCTGGGAATCCATAGACTTAAAAAATAAAGGTTCAGAATTCCTAATCAAAGAATTCCTAGTTGCTTCATTTTATAGAAAAGGAAACAAAAGCTTTGAGAAAGTAAGTGACTTCTTCAAGGCCACGTGGATGGTGAGTGGCAAAACTGTAATTTGAACTCAGGGCTTCTGACTACAAATCCTGCCGTGTTTCAACTAGAACACATCACCCTTGAGATTCTGTGTCCCTATCAGTTCCTCCTTGTTAGAAAAGGAACTTTTAAGCTGTTCTCTTCAGATTCCATGCCATAATTTCATTCTAACTGATTATCGTTGAGGTTCATCACTCTTTCTCCACTTGCCCTTTCTCTGGGTTTGGTTCAGACTTGTTTCTGGAGCAACGGGAGCAGCATTAATGAGATTCATTTCAGTTCTATGGTGTTTCTGCTACACTCAAAAAAGTTATTGATGGTAGCAGAGGCACCATCATGCTATTCCCCTTTCCTCTGCTCCTGGTAAGCTTCAATGATATCAATATTTTCATGTTTCCCATTTCCCATTACATTTTTCTGTTATTTCCACGTACTTCAACTCCTAATTGCCACATTATACCTGGAGGACTTCAGTTAGATTTTTCTGATGAGCCAGCTGCATGTTTAAAAAAAAATCCCAGGACTTCTTTCCATAACCTAAACCTCTGCACTTTTCATTAAAAAACTAAACATGGTAGTAACTGCTGAACTTTTAAGAAATATTAAACTTTAGCTCATACTTAGAGTGGTCACCAGGAAAAATCATATTTCATTTTTTTCATGGCCTTGAGACCACATGGGTGCAACTAAGATTAATCACTCAAGTCATACCTCCCCCCTTTAAAATTATTGCTAGTCAGCAGAGCACAATATTTTGTGTAGCAAGGTAATGCTCCAGAGAACATATTTGTGTATATATGCTACTTAGACTTTTGAGACACTTGTGTGTTCATTTGTATTTTGTGTAGGTTTTGAAGGTAGGTAATTAATTCATAGAGAACCCACCACACTGTCCCATATTGATCAAGGTTTCAGAAATCTGCATCTCAGGATAACTGGGTAGGATATGTGTTCCAAGCTCAGTGGTCCACTTCATGTAGGAACTAAAGCCGCAGGACTGTCAGTAATTGTTAAAGCATAATAGAAATATAAACTGTGGTTCCTATTTTTAGTTCCTTTTTGTGAGGCAATTGATTACAAACTTAAGTATTTAGCTTTTGTGTTAGTATAAAGAGCTTGACAATGATCTCTTTTTATTTTCATTCAAGACGAAGAATTCCAAGTAATTAGTCAATAAACATTTACTATGTGCCAGGCACTGTACTAAGTGCTGGAGATACAAAAACAGGCAAAAGACAGTCTCTGGCTTCAAGTAGTTCACAATATAATGGAGGAGAAAACAAACAAACAGATATGTACAAATAGGCTAAATTCAGGATAAGTAGACAATAATTAAGAGAGGGAAAGGCACTAAAATTGAGAGATTTGGAAAAGTTTGCTGTAAGAAGATGAAATTTTAGTTGGGATTTAAAGGAAACTTGGAAAGGCAGTAGGCAGAGATAAGGAGGAAGAACATTGCAGACATAGGAGACAGCCAGAGAGAATGCCCAGAGTTGAAAGTATCTTGTTTGTGGAACAGCAAGGAAGCCATTGTCAGTGGATTGAAGAGTATATGGTGGAGCGTAAGGTGTAAGAAGACTGGAAAGGTAGGAGGGGGCTAAGTATGAAGGACTTTGAACACCAAATAGAGGATTTTGGATTTGATCTTGGAAGCTATGGGGAGCCACTGGAATTTAATGACTAGAGGGGTGACATGATTGAACCTGCGCTTTAGGAAAATCACTTCCGTGGCTGAAAGGAGGATGGATTGGAATGGGGAGAGACTTGAGGTAGAGAGACCCCTAGTAATCCAGGTATAAGGTGATGAGGAGCTACACCAAGGTCGTGGCAATGTTAGAGGACAGAAGAGGGCATGTTAGAAAGATGTTTCAAAGGTGAAATGGACTGGTCTTGGCAACAGAATGGATATGGAGATGAGAGATAATGAGGAGTCAGCAGTGACACTCAGGTTTTGAGCCTGAGGGAGTTGAAGAATGGTATTGCCCTCTACATATTGTCTTCTACAGTAATAGGTAAGATAGGAGGCAGGGGATAGCCTAGGGTTTTTGTTCATCGTGGCTGTTTGATACCTCTTTGGTGTTATAAGGTTTGTGTTTAAATCTCAGCTATGTCATTAGCTACCTATGTGATCTTAGGCAAGTCACTTAAACTTTCTGGGTTTCAGTTTCTTCATCTGTAAAAGAAGGTATAGTACTAGATAAAACCTTTATCTAGTTAAAGGTTAAAGATAACCTTTATCTAGTTAAAG